TTACTCCACAAAGTTTGCTGATTAGACCTAAACTGTTACATAAACAGATGAACTTTTCTCTATTTTTAAAACATATTCCAATAAAGGTATGACATTTTGAAGACATTATTGATATTCAAATCATTTCCAAACAAAACCCATCTTCTTTATTAAATATATAAAACACCAAATTATTCTGTTCTACTGTAAGTTCTGTGAGAGCAAAGATGACACATCTCTCCTGGAATATAATGGGCAGCTTCACAAAATTTTGTTTCACGAATGACAGATAGAAGAGGTGACTATTCTTTAAAGTCATTTCATACTACTTGACGACAGATACCTAGAAAAGACAAGCTCTAATATTCTTATTGCCACATAACAGCACTAATCTAAAATTACTATTAAGAAAATATAATTTCAAATAGTTTTTTATACCACCTTGAGAACTTTGAGCTTGGCTGGGATGCCAGCAACGTATTTGCCATCCAGGCAAAGATGTTAATTTATCATGGTGAATTTCTCCCCCTCTCCTGGGAAATACATGTGTGCAGGGCAGGAGGCAATAACAGCTCTTAGCATCCTCGGCTAATTGAAGCTACGCCTGTGAGAACCCAGTGGCCTACAGCTTGAGGGACCAGAAGGACCGCACCGCTGCCTAAATTGATCCATTCACCCGCTGTCTCGCCCTGTTCCACATGCCAATCTCATTCACTGCATGAGGGAAGGAGCGGAGCATGGGCACCTGAGCCATGAGCAGGCTCATGCACCATGGACTTCTTACCAAGACATGGCTGTGTCAAAATAGAGCTTGGGAATTCCCTGGCACTCCAGTGGTTAGGACTTGGTACTTTCACTGATGAAGTCTGGGTTCGATCCCTGGCTAGGGAACTAAGATCTCACAAGCCATGTGGCCAAAAATAAATAAATAAATAAAGCCACCTTTAAACCAAAGGAAAAGAAAAGGAAGCCTTTACTACAAGTATTAAAAAGGAGTGACCACAAAGAAGACAAAAGAGAGAGAAAGCTATGCTCCATAGAAATGCCATATAGTCCTTTCCTGTCAGTGATAACCTAGTGGATTCTAGGTGACAATTAATTACTCTTCCCCTACGACTGCTGCAAAATGTAAAGACGCTAAATGTCTAAGATGCACCATGAATATGATGACCAGATTCTCTGACTTGGGGAGCCGAGGAAGCTGATCTTCTCCTGCCGCCAGCTGCCACCCTAGTGTGCCGGCCAGCACAGTGCCCCGGGGAAGAATGAGCCTGGTGCAGTTTCTCAATGCCCAATTCTGAGGTCCTCCCACAGACTCAGGGATGCACTAGAGTTGGCTACAAACAGAGGGAATTTGGTCTGAGAAAAAGCCTGCAGAATCTGGGAGTCAGAAGAACTGATCAGCAACCATGTTTTGATACATTTTCAAAAGCAGTCTTGGGAATTCTCAAATGAGCGGGATTTCGCTCTGGCCCCTAAACAACATATTCGCACACAGAGGCATGAAATGCAATTTCTGGGTGTTGTTTTTTTTTTTTAAACAAACACAAATCTTAATAAACTGGTGCCTTTTGCCAGCCAAGCACTCTCTCTTTGTCCTCTCCAGGCAGCGTGATGGCAGCCGTTTGCACTCAGCAGTTATATATTACCCGAGCACTTCTAGAATGTGGCAGTGGGAGCACGATTCAGGTCTTGGCTTGCAGGCTCGGTGGCCTCTCATGCCCGCCTCCCCCACTCCAGCATGGACGGATGTAGTGAATCAGAAGGTGTCCCTTCTAGCCGCTGACGGCTCCTCCTGACGCTTACTCACCAGGCCCCCAGAGTACTCCCACCCTGCTCAGCTTTGCAGTGATTCCCGCCTTTGCAATGAGACGCCCCTTTGCCACCCAGCCACCAGACCTTCTCCTGGTGAGCATAAAGCTTCAGGGAGGTAGAATTCTATTTCTCTCCCAATGGCTGCGGCAACCCTGGCCCAATCACTCATTCAAACACATGTGTAAAAATGACTGGAAACGGCGATGATGTAGGTGATAATAACACCAGTGAGCATCCATGGAGTGCTCACTTTGTGGTAATGACTTACATGAAATACCTCACTGTGCTTTTGCAAAAAACAAAAAACAAAAACCTTGCTCATGAAGTCGCAGTCAATAGAGCCAGGGCTGTGGAATCAGCCCAAGCTGGAGCAAGATCCCTGCTGTATCACTAAAAAGAGTCCAATGACCTTGAGAAAGTCCTTCAACCCCTTCGGGCTTCTGTCTCATCTGATAAATGGGGAGACTTCTGCCCACTCTGCCTTCTTGCTACCGACAGCACAACTTTACAGAGACATAGCAGAGATAAGGGATGGCAAAGCTCATCAGGAACTGGAATGCACTCTCCACACAGACAAGGCTGGGAGAGGCTCGGGTCCAAGGTCATGCAGCTGGCTCACGGCTGGCCTGGAACTGAGGCCCAGGCATCAGAACTCCCAGGCCTAACAGACAGAACTGCTGTCCCGCTCAGCTCAGCGGACCACACAGCCCACCAGCAGCTGGCATGGAAGGCTGCTCCACACAGGAACTCCCCACGGCTGACTTTCTGTCTCCTGAGACCAGCTCCTCGGCCTCATGCATCACCGCCAGCACAGATGCTTCTGTCTCTAAATTTTCAACATACACACACACTCTCACTGTCACACACTTGTGCACACCTTCTCTCACACAGATTAGCAGAGTTCACAGAACTGGTCCTGTAAGCAGTCAGCATCCTGGGAAATTCTGGAACCCTCCAGCTATGAGTACTCTTTAAGATGAAGATTTCCGGAGGTGGGTAGGAATTAAGGAAATAAAGTACCCTTGGGGTAGCCACGTGTTTCTCTAGCAAATTTTACTTCATTTTGGTGACTATCAGAAGATCCAAGTAACTCCGACTCTTTAGAAAGTGATTCTTCCTTTATTAGACTAGATGGCACTGTGGTATCACCCTTTTGATGACCAAGGAAATCGTATTTCATTTCAAATAATTTTGCTTCCACTGGGGACTGTCCAAGAGGCTAAGCCCTCCCCTTGAGGGGTCCTCGTTATCATATGGAAATTTTCTGAAGGAATCTGCCAGAGGACAGTGGCCATCAAATACACAAGATCACAATAATAATAATGTGTGTTTACACACTATGTCACATTACCTGTCCAAAGGGATTTTAAAAGGCACATGTGCCTCGTGGAACTCCAGAGAGGGCCGGGGAGTCCATAGTGGCCAAGACTTCATTTTTCCTCCTCTGCCACAGCCATGGCTATGGAATTCCATTTTTGCCCTCAAGAGCTTTTTTTATATCAGCACCTCTCACTACACCTACAGGCTCCATCAGCAAGAGGAATTATTTTCAATATTACCAAATTGTTTGTGAACATCTTCAACCCTACAGTCTTGTAGTGACAATGGCTTACACAATTCTCACAATGGATTGAGGTGGCAACCTTCCTAAGGTCAAGGTTTGCTTAGGAGGTTGGGGACAGGGGAAGTTAGTGCTGGAAGGGAAATGAGAGTTCAACAGATTCTCCCAGAATTCCAGCATTCAGAAAGAACACTGTAAACTGAGGGATGGGAAAGTAAGTAGGGAGTGAGGTTCTCTCTAAATCCCAATGATGACCAGAAAGTTGGAGGGCTCCATTCGTCTGGGGCTGGACAGAAAAACCCACATTGGCTGTTGCATTCCGAGAGGTACCAACAAAAGATGACAGTGTCTGGAACAGAGCAGCCGTCCCCATGAGAAGGGAATGGGGAATCTGTCCAGGGAAGCAGCCTCTGTAGCAGCAGCAACCTCCTGTGGTCAGCTCGGTGGAGAGGCAGAGAGCATGGCCATGTCAACTAAACTCACCTTATCCATTCCCGGCATCCCCTGCAGCAGCCTGCTCTGTTTTATAGAGACCAGCAGAATGGGAGCCCTGACTGGGGCAACTGCACCCCAAAGAGTCCTTCCTACTCCCCCCTTTATGGCACTTCCTGACTGCCAGCAACCAGGCATTGCAGCTGGCTGGAGGAAAATGCCCTCGCTTCAAAAGTGACAGGCTTTTCATAAAACAGCTCTTTCAGCATCAGCCCTAGGTTCCCAGCAAGAGGACTGGCAGCGCCCTGCTCTAGGGATCAGGAATTTGTAAATCAGGAGAGGTTTCTCAAGACTGAGCCCCACACCGGATCCGCAGCAGCGTCCCAACCCGCCCTTCGGCCCGCGAGGGGCCCCCTTGCACTCGCAAGGCGCAGGGGATGCCCCGCGTGCAGCCAGTAGCCAGGGACGCAAGCTCTCTCTGGGTGTCCGCAAACAGCCGCAGAGGGACATTCATTCGCCCAAGGAGAGTAGAGCCAGCGGAAAGAAAGGAGGAGCGAAGCGACAAAAGTACGGAAGGAAGAGGGGGAAAAAAACATAAAAGGTTAAAGAAAGGACGGGAAGCAAAGTGAGAAAGGAAAACGGTGGGAGAAGGAAAGAGCAAGCGGCCAGGAGCTGACAAGATCCCAAGCAAGAGAAAGAGAGGCGAATAGTCGAAGCGAGGGGAAAGGCCGAGGAGGAGGGGGAAGAATGCGGGATCGTCAAAGAAGAGAAAAGGCGGCTTGGGAAGCTGGGTGCAGAGAAGAGAGAGGCTGGAGGGGCTTAGGCACGCTACGCGAAAAGCGCGGCTCTTTCCGGCGCTCCAGTGCGGAATCTACATTCGGTACTCTGTCCCGGCGGCTGCCGGTGGGCGCGCGTCCTGGGCCTCCCGGCCGCTTCCCCCCGCGCACTCCGAGGCGCCAAACAGGCCAACCCGTGTGCAGACACAGGAGCCGTCCCGGGAAGGAATGGACGAGCCGCCACAGCGCCGTGCTCCCACGCGCCAGGGCGCCAGGCGCCTGCCCAGCCCAACCCGGGCGCCACTGCAGGGACGCCGAGGTGCTCCCTGGGTCACCCGCACCGATCGGCCGCGCCTTCCGATCCTCTGCCCGCCCGCCGGGCCGGGTCAGCACCCCGGCTCGGCTCCGGGGGAGCCCGCTCGGCCGCGGGCGCTCACTCACCTGGACGGTCTCAGCCTGGCGTCGCGCTTGCCGTCCACCACGGCGGGCACGCAGCTGGTGAGCTCGGTCCAGTCGGCGTGCAGTCCGCAGCTCCAGCCCGTGGAGAACCTGGAGAAGAGCCAGGTCTCCCGCTTACCCGGCCGGTGGCAAGTGCATTTCTTCTGACCCACGCGGCACTCACACGGCTGCTCCAGCTGGATGTTGCGCACCAGGTGGCGGCCGAAAGTGGTGCCTCCGGTCTTTTGGATGTGCAAGAACACGATCAGGTCATCGCCCTTGATGTCGAAGTCTACCTTGCGCAGAAGGTCGCCGCGGCTGAAATTGTAACGGGGCACAAACCTGGCGGAGCTCTCATCCTCCGAGCGGTACGGGTCCGGCAGCGGGGAGCTGAACGCCTGCAGACGGAGGAGCTGGCATTCTGTGCCGGGGCACACGTATTGGAGGACGATCACCGCAAATAGGAAGAGCATCACCAAAGCCAGCAGCAGCTTGTTGGATTTCTCATCCATGTTCCCGACGCTGGGGGAAACCCAAGCTCCTTACGTCAATCCCGCAGCTCAGCCCGCGCTCGCCGCGTGCCCGCACCGCCCCCTCCCCTGGCGCCGCGGTTGCTCCCCTTTCCCCCTCCCTTCGGCACCGAGTACTCCACCGCGGCGGCGGCGGCGGCGGCGGCGGCGGCGCCCTTCCCCGCTTCCTTCCTTCCCGGCAGGCTCAGCGCTGTGGCTTCTGCCGCACACCCCTCCTCCCCCCACTCCCCCGACTCCTTACCGCTGGCCGCCTGCCCTCTCCCCGCACCGGGGCTCTCTGGAGCGGCTCCGCGGGGTTTCGTCCCCGTGGGACCCCGCCTGCCCCGGTTGCCCCACTCCTCAACTTATAGCACGGGTCCGAGCCTCCGCGCATCTCGTTCCACTCTCGGTGGCTCCGTGGCTCCCATCCCCATCCCGCTTCGCCCACCGGACTCTCCCCGGGGCTTCTGCCCCCAGTCCCCTTGGCGCGCACGCCGCCACCTCCTCGCCTGCCCGATCTCGGGCTCCTTCACCGTGCGCCTCCGAAGCCCTGCTCTTGCCCGCATCGGGTTGCCCACCTTGGGGGCCGCCTCGAGGGAGCTCAGAGCCCGGCGTTCGGAGTTCCCCTGGGGGAAGGGGGTCCGCGAGCAACCCGACTTGCTAGCTGAGATGCTGCGCTCAGGGTGCCCGCGGAAGCGCGGGGAAGAAGCCGCAGCGGAGTCAAACGCGCGCCGTTCCCCTTCCGAGCCCCCGAGCCCGGCCGCCGCGGGCCAGCCGGAACTTTGCGCCCTTTCCTCTCCTCGCGGTTGCTTTCCCTTCCCGCACCGCTCCCGCGCGCCCTGGCCCGGAAGCGCGAGTCCCGCTTTCGCCTAAAACGTACCTGGCTAGGGGACCGAAAATCTTGGAGAATATCGCGCCGAGCACGTGCTTCAGAGAGTGGCCCAGGGCGGCCAGGCCCCGGGTGAGCAGGGCCCGGCAGAGGGAGCCCAGGTCCCAGCGTCTCCTGAGGTCGTGCATCCGCCTGCGGCGGCCTCGGAGCAGTAGCGCGAAGAGAGGGGCGCGCGCGGCTCCCGCCAGAGAAGCAGCAGCCTTTAGGGGCTCGTCCAGGAGCGGCTGGGAGTTGAATCCGCGAGACACACCCCTAGGAGGGCCCGCGCGGACTGAGGCGGCGACTGATCCGGGCCGGCTTGCTGCCAATTCGGCCTCTACTCTGGAATGCCGGCGGGGACAGGTGGTGCGGGCGGGCGCTCCTCGCTCCGGTTGCAACGGCGGCCCGAGCGCCCCGGCTGCACACGCAGGCAGTGCCATTCCCCCCTTCAGGCAACTCAGGGTACTAAGGATCAGGAGCGAGCTTGAATTTATGTAATAATGCCTCAAGCCTAAGAGCTCAAACCACTTAAGCAAAAGACCTGGCTTTTCTCCGGTTTGGGGGGACGGAGGTCACTCTAGTGAGCACATCACTACACTTTGGCTCGTAATTTCAGCCTCCCCTAAAATAGCAAAGGCGCAAATTGGGCCTTTTCCCTCTCTCCTTGCCAATTTCCATTCTCCAGCGGAAGCGGGGGCATTTTCTGAAAAGGTAAGTCAGCATGAAGGAAAAGGCATGACCAAAAAAAAAACGTTTCAGAATGAGAATTTGAGCTTTTTTAGAGCAGGGACTGGTCCATACTTCCCTATTCTTTCTCAATACCCAGCATCAAGCCCCGTGTCTACAGGAAGGCTTCACTCATAAAATTCGTTAAAAGAAAGGCACATGATTAAATACTACATGGGGGGGGGAGTGGTGATGGCATCTAATCCAAGGTGGTGTGACAAATGAGGAAGCAGGCCCAGAGAGGGAAAGGAATGTGCCCAAGGTCACACAGCAGAGCCTGAGGGTTTGAACCCAGGAAGCCATCCATTTCCTAACACCACCTCTTTTAATAAACAGGTGCAGAGCGCCCTCAAGCCAAGTGTCCTGAAAGGCTCTATTCAGCTGCAGGACCAGCACTGTGAGGATTGGCAAGGAAAGAAGGAATGTCCCTTTAGAACAAGGTCCCAGGACTCAGGACTCTGACTATTCCCATCTGATTGATCAGGTGTTGGGAACTGGTATTTCTGTGAGTGAGTGTCCACCGGTGTCCAGTTCCACCTCTGCAGAAGGAGCTCGGGCTGGCAATGGTGTCTCAGAACAGTGTTGTTGGGGAGGTGGGGGCCCGTGAGCGGAGTCCTGGGGGTGGCCGTAAGTCCCTCCAGAGACAGGCGCTCCCAGGATCTCCCTTAGAACATTTGATCCCTTGCTGAGCTCTGTTCATCCCTCATCTATTCTCTCTGTGCAGTAAGGCAGCGAGCACTGGTCTCCAGACCTGAGATTCTGTCATTTGCTTGCTGGGCAGCCTTGGGATTATGACTTGCCCGTCCTGAGCCTTACTTTCCTCTGCTGTAAAATAGGACTAATTCCTTTCTGACCATCTGGGTCACTGTCAGGATGGCCTTTGATGTTGATGTTTAGTCTCTACATCTGACTCTTTGCGACCCCATGGGCTGTAGCCCGCCAGACTCTTCTGTCCATGGGATTTCTCCAGGCAAGAATACTGGAGCGGGTTGCCATCTCCTCCTCCAGGGGATCTTCCCAACCCAGAGATTGAACCCCGATCTCTTACATCTCCTGCATTGCAGGTGGATTCTTTACTGCTGAACCACCAGGACTTCCCAGGGATGGGTTTGGGCAATTCCAAATATGAGGCAGTGTTTACCTCCTGCTCTAAGCTCAGAGGTGCCAACTGAGTCATGGGCCCGTGAAGGCAGAGGCCCTTCTCAGGAGATTTCACAGCTGTGCCCCTTGCCCTTACCCCTCCTGCCCAGACGTCCCCAGTCCTGGTTGGACTTCCATGTGACCCCCAAGCTACTGGGGACAGTGAGAGTCCCTTCGTCTGGTGGCAAGCATGAGGGATTCTTGAGAATCCTGCATTTCAGGCATTTCACCTATCTGGGTGTCCTGCGGAGGGATGGGGGGATCAGCTGATGGATGAAGGAGTCAGATGCAGCAACTTTCAAGGCAGACCTCTTGGCCTCCCAGAGAGCTCCCCAGATGCCCCCAGGCTTGTGGGATGCATCTGCAAGGGCAGGTGAGGGGAGAGCCAGAGGAGCCATGAGGATCGCTGAGGAGCTCAACCTGCCAGTTGTCCCTACCTGCTCCCAGGCCACCCATTCGACTCCTTTGGTCTCTTCAGTAGGTGGCTCTCTTCATGGTGCCATATGAGGACCACCTCCCGCCCACCAATACATTCAGTGGGTCCCCAGAGAAACACTTCTAGAACACAGTGGGTCACACATTCATGCCCCCACTGACTCTTAAGAACTCTGGAGTTCCTGCTCTAAGAGATATCAGTGGGACTGGAACATGGGAAGGTGCCTTGGATGGGGGTGAGGGACTGGTAACCAATACAGGAAACAGTCAGGATTTACTCATTTAGGTCATAAAGAGGAACACATGCACACAGTCAATCTGATTCTCAGAGGAAGGGGCAGTCAGGTTGATAGTTTTGCTCTGCATAAAGAAGGAGCAGGATGAGGCTGTGAAGTCCGGCTTCTGAGATTGGATGCGTGCGCTCATTCACTTAGTCATGTCCGACTCTGCGACCCCACGGACTGTAGCACGCCAGGCTCCTCCATCCATGGGATTCTCCAGGCAAGAATACTGGAGTGGGTTGCCGTTTCCTCCTCCAGGGGAACTTCCCGACCCAGGGGTCAAACACATCACCCGAGTGTCCTGCATTGGTAGGCAGATCCTTTACCACTGAGCCACCTGAGTGTATTCTAGTGTAACTATATATACCAGCTCACTGGAGGGTATTTGCATTTCTGAGATGTTTCTCTAAACTTATCCTGTAAGAAAAATAAAGAAATTACTCTCTTGTGGTGGATTTCATATATCTGGGTTCCTAAAAGTGAGAAGAAACTGTCTGTGGGGGAGTAGGGAACAAGTCTCAGAGGACTGTTCCTGGGGTGAAGAGGATTCCTGCTAAGAAGAGGGAATTCTTCCCGTGTGTGTCCTGAGAGCCACGTTCTCCTGAGGCCATGCCTGGGCCTTCGTAGGACATTCCAAGACCTCTTGCACTGCTGGGCTGGGCCCATCTTCCAGGAACTGGTTCCCCTCAGGAATTGAGTAACAAAGATCCTGATACTCTAGAAGGGCTTCCCACATGGTGCTAGTGGTAAAGAATGCACCTGAAATGCAGGAGACATAAGAGATGCAGGTTCGATCCCTGGGTCAGGAATGGCAACTGACTCCAGTATTCTTGCCTGGAGAATCCCATGGACAGATGAGCCTGGTGGGCTACAGTCCACGGGGTCGCAAAGAGTCAGACACAACTGAAACGACTTAGCATGCATGCTCATACTCTGAAATCAGCCCTCTTTTGGAGACTGGGATGAGGAACAGGCCTATGGTTTTGCATCTTCTTTCTTAGGGCAGCCTGAGTGGTCGTCTGTGTATATATTTGGGATTCAGGACTTGGAGCGTGAGGAGGACTCTGCAGTCTGAGCAGGGCCTCTGGTTGTCTTCACAGTGTGCCGTTCTTTTCATCATTTATCCAGAACCTTGTCCTCCCATGGTTTCCACAAAAGGTTGCCGATTCCGGGAGCATAAAGGTCAGGCTGGCTTGCATACTAAGCAGTGTGCTCCCAGTTTCGCATTTGGTTGCGGGTGTCTGAGAGGAGGGCAGGAAGTGTTTGAGAGAGCCCTGGCCTGGGAGTCCAGAGACTTGGGTTGCCGAGAACAGGACCCTGTATGACCATGAGGAAGACACTTGTTCGCTCTTGGGCTCAGTTGCCCTATTTGTAAGAAGTCACCATCGGTGTTATGCCCTAAGGGAATTGTCCTGCTCTAATATGGTAAGTCACTTGCTTTTCTTGTCTTCTTCAAGGGCCAGAGTGCTGCCAAACTCTCAGCACCTCATCGCAGGGCGTAGCCCAGTCCTTCCTGCTTTCTGTAACAGTCACATGGTGGGGACCCATTAGGCCATCAGCAGCTGGACTTGTCCTGAGCCTATGTGACAGGGGTAACAGCAGGGTCCCCTGTTCAAATTGAAACAGAAACAGTGGAAACTTAATGTCAGATAAAGTGCTGGCAAATAACTGAAGTAAATAAATTTATTTTTAAAAGTGCTGGCATTCTTTATAGAGTATAAAACACTAAGGAAATATGCTTTCCCCTTACCCCGAGCATTTGCATCAAAGCTGTCTTTCCAGCTGTCGCTAATTAAAAAAAAAAAAAAAAAAAAGCTCATACTCTCAATTATAGGTGATTTTTGTCACCAAGATTGAAGACATGCAAACTGTTGTCACTTCGTTGCTGTTTTTCTGCATCTCTCCAAACTGAATGAACAGCATTGCTTCATGAAAACACTGCTCCAAAATTTGACTTTAATATTCTAAACAGGTTCAGTGTGTTATAGACAGCACTCTCAATGGTTGTCTATTTTTCTCCCATGAAGCACTGAATTTATCTGTTTAGCCTTTAAAAAAAAACACATAGGGTTGAAGGAATTAAAAGAGGAGGAGGATGTAGGGGTAATGTGTATACTGAATGAACATGTGCTGCAAAGGCAAGAGAAAGAAGCACTGGACCAGGGTTCATGGTCAACTCTGAACATCAGACCCATGGCTGCCCTTCTCCTGATGAGAACTGCCCACCATTTCCCCAACAGTGAAACCCCCATTTCTCACCGACAGCCTTTGGAGGAGTCTGTTCAGGCAGGACTTTGAAAGCCATGGTGAGCCAAGGCCTGGCAACCACGAGGGGCAGCAGGTCAGACTCCACTCCTGATACAGTCATGTCTCTTATTTGGGCCTCAGTCTCCACTCATAAAATAGCCTGACCAGGTACCTTCCAAAAGCTGGCTTCGGGGTAGAATAAAGAGGAAGCCAATCTCAAATGAGTTTATTTTAAAAAGGAGAGGGCATGGGTTTGGAGAGCACCTTGCCCTGGGGTTTCATCAGGGCTCTCTGAGCTGTCTCAGAGCCTCAGTTTTCTCATCCTTGAAAATGGGGCTATAACAGCCTCACTCGGCTGTAATATGAGTTCACTAAAACAATCTGTGGGAGGTACTCAGTTGAGTTCCTAGAAAGAGTACACCTTGTGTAAATGTCCATTTCTCTTCGCTTTCAACTCTGAATATCTTTGGTTTGAGCTCTTGGTTTATATTTCCCACAACAGTAACATACACATATTTAATGACGGGGGTGGGGCTGGCTCTGCCCCGACCCCATTTTCTTTGCCTGCCTTCTTGTCTCACCCTCCCTTCACATCTCTCCAGTGCTTTCCG